AAGCTTTTCTTGAAAGGAACCTTCATGTTAATATATCTGTCAAATTCAGGAGTGTACTAGCAGAAAGTAACTTAGCAGCATTTCAAATTGCAAAACCAAAGCCCCTCAACAACTAAAGAATGTCAATTTTAAAAGTGAAGTCTGTTTTTTACACATCTTTCAGGAAATTACATATTTTGAGGCTAAGGGGAGAAAGGAAAGCAGAGGGCAATAAAAAGAGACCTCCAAGTTTCCTCCCTCCAAATGTAATGGTTTTCATTAGACACATGGACATCTCACATAAGATGGTAAAAACACTAGAAAGTATCTAGCTCTGGGTCTATCTATCTCTAAGCAACCTGCCCATGTCAGAGACTTCAGCATAAAGGAGGATTATGAATGCTGTGTTATCTTCTGCTTTCCTCCCTTATCTGCCTTCACGCACCTCATGTCCTCTTTTGACACCCACTGCTTCTCTATGGCCTCGGAGAGAGCAGCCCTGCTCTGCCCTCATTTGAGAGCAGAGAAGAGAAAGCTGGAGGGAATGCAGGCTGACATCAATTCCCCACCTTTGCACTGCAACAAAGGGCAGCTATGCAAGTAGGCACCAGGCCAGCACAGCAGGGTAACAAGACAAAAATCAGTTTCGGGGAGATGGTAGTTTAGACTCATGATACTGCACCCGTAGCGGTGGAGCACTGGCTTAGTCATTTGTGCAGAAAGGATAACAAGCCAGTAAACACTGAAGAACTAATAGTGAAGTCGAAGTCACAATCTATTACCAGAAAAACCACCACAACCAACCAAACCCTAAACAAAACCCACTGCCATGGAAAAAAAAAAAAAAAATCCACGTGAAGGCCTGTTCTGACATAGCTGTTCACTCTGCAGGTCCAGCCTGCCTGAACCAGCCCCTCTTCAGAACCAAACCAGCACTGGGATGACTTTGTGCAGAGGTATCTGCTTGTGTGTACATCACACCTCCTCAGTTCCATAGCATCAGCAAACCGATGCCGGGTGTATACCATAATATTTTAACTCCGGAAAAAGCAGGCACCGAGGCTAATTATAAAGTGATTTGATGCATTTTGAGAAAGTTTTAACTACCAGCCCAGGAAGGCAATGATTTTTTTAAAAACCTCTTTTAACTAATACAACCATTTTCAAAGCTCAAAAGAATTGTTTTATCTTTCGTCACAGTTAACTAAACCTCCACAGATGGAACACAGAAAGAAAGTCCCATTTTGGTAGCAATACAGGGAAGAAGAAAAAAAGATGGCCTTGTGATTTAAAAACTAATGGCTTGTTCATTCATTCTCCTGATAAACTTCTGAAGATTTTCTAAGCATATAGTACTTAAATTAATTTTAAAATGAACAGTTGGGATTTGTTCAGCTACCAAAGCTTGCTTATCATGAGGTAAAGCACAGCATTCCTTCCACCAGTTCTCTCTAAAGAGGAGAAACACCTACCAAACCTGAGTGAGCCACGTGTACACAGCACAAGAGATGCTGATATTGTAAGACACTTCCTTTTTCACAGTTCAAACATTTCTGAACAGGAACACGATAATCCAGAAGAAACAGGACTTCTGCCTCTCAAAAACCCGAGAATAGTTTAGATAAAATTTGGAACTAAAATCAAGACAACACAGGACTGATTCTGCCAGTAAGACAAGAAAGAGATCTCATGCATTACAAGATAAAATACTCTCCATTCTGAATGCTTGCAGGATTTTTCTCCTTTAGCAAGAGCAATTCAATATGGCCACTTAACTTTTGGAAAGCCCTACAGCATGAATGAGCATTACATTCTTTTTCCATAATATTTTCAGTAATGACTCCATTATATTTTATAATATATAAAAGAAGACTTGAAGTTGTTGTGAATTTTTACTATTTCCCCCACTCACGTATCAGAAATACCAAGTCTAGTCTTCACTGGTTATAGAAGATGCCTGTGAAAATTTCAGACTATGGTTGCTTATGTTGCTCCACAACTGATAAAAAGCAGATGTGTCCAATCTAAATCCCCTCATTTATCAGAGCCATTATATACTGAAGTTATAGATACTAATTCTTTGAACTATGCAAAATAATACAGTTCTCCCCCTAAAAACAGTGGAGATTTCAGTTGTTTGATCCTGAGTCATCAGTAGGCCCACAGAGTCTTACTGTTTCAAAGCTGAAAGCCTTTATTTTTCCACACAAAAGGCAAGAAGAAAAGAGAACACTCACTTGAAAATCCTCTTTATCCATGATAAAAATGGTCATAACTCTTACTGAAGAAAAAACAGTAGAAACATTCTCCATGAATTCTGACCAAAGAATTTTAACAATTCTTACACAGGAACAAAGGTCAGTATAGCTATATGGTCTGCTTTTATCACTTCCCTACCACAGTCAGACATCCATGACATGGTCAAAGCGTATCTATCCCAAAGAACTGTTGCAGCTAAGACATATCGGGTTTATGGACAAAAATAGGCTAACTGAGGTCTGAAGAACAAGAAAAACCACAGCACAAGATAGAAGAGTATGTTTACTTTCCTGATTTGGTAGCAGATAAACAGAAAACCAGAAATGGTGGGAGGAGGGATGTAAAGGTTGTTATGAATAACTACCAGCTGTTACCAGCATAAGATTTTCCCACAAATTCACTATTACAGCTCTTCCCTTAAAAGCCATCTAGAGGCAACTGTTCAGTTTCACATGCTACCTGTTCAAGTACTTGCTTCTCAGCAGAAATATTTATACCAAAGTACACATTGATAGTTACATTTCTCCAAATAAGTTGGGTATTTTTTCCAAAAATGTAAGTTTAACACATATTCTGTAAGTATTGCTATCACCCATTAAACAAATAACACTTCCTATATTTAAGAGCTGAAGAAAATTGTTTGAAGTTTCACAGAAAAAACCTGCAGATGTATCTTTACTTACACAGCAGTTATCACAAATGCTACTTTCTTTTCTTTTTTGTGGTCATTCATTCTGTTTCACAAAGGAGTTTAAAATTGTTACATCTCAAACAAAAGCCTATAAAAACATATTGAAAGATACAACATACTTAAAAAGAGTTTTCTTGGTTTCACAAGCTTTTCTTGTTTCTCTTTTATGAAGAGTTGAGAAATTAAAATTAGCATTTGAAAGTATTCAAAACATTGCTTAAACTTCTCATTTAGGTGTCAGATTCCACAGGTGCAATTTCTTATTACGTACAGTGAAACCTTCTTGAAATTAACCTTGCTAGGCAACCTCTGTTCTTAACATGATAGAGCAAAACAGAAAAATTCTGGTTTCCCTACAACTGAAGATATTCTTAGACAAATAATCAACGAAAAGACAAAGCCTAAAATGAGCATGGAAAAAACCATGCTGTGTATCTGTCCTTTTACCTTACATATTGAGAGTATCAAGGTTCTGTAACTTCTGGTTAAGAAAAGAATCTTAACTCATACTGTTTCATCACGTAGTCAACTCTTCAGTCATTATTATACTCATATTGTAACTCATTATACTCACAGCGTAACTCACGTTGGAGGTCTTCTAGTTTTAATTTTAAAAAGTATTAATAAAAAGAGCACATAAAATGCACTGCCTGGAACAACTGAGTACTGGGACAAAGTGACAGAATTTCTTTTTGCGATAAAGCTAATAATTTTTAAAATAGCAAACAAAATTATGCTGGCACAGCAATTTACACCTTGAACTAAACTGCTTGCAAGACAAATACCATTACAACAAAATACTTCTTTTCTACAGCATTATTAAAATCGCATTTTAAATTGACTTGAAATTATATGACCTTTAGGCAAATATCTATTTTTACACTGATTCTGGCTTTCACTGGACCAGAACTCTTATTTACTGCTGATTCACAAAAGTGAACATATTATCAGTCAGTTGCTGACTAGTATTTATACAATACAGAATCTCTCAAGGAGTACTTGGAATTGAACCAGATAAAGTGTAATTTCTTACTTGCTAAGTTTTGTAGGTATCTATGGCCTCCCTCAAGATCTTACCACTCAAATGGCAAATTAAGATAATCCTGCAACTTCTAATTCCACCCAATTAAACAAAAAAACAGAAACTAGAGTTTCTAATAAGCACTCATCTCCAAAATTATCACAGAACTACCTTTAATATGAAAGGCCATGCCACTAAACAACAGTGAAAAAAACCCCACACGCTCACTAAATACACACATTAAACCCAAATTTCCTTGTCTAAAGCAAATGCATGGTTCAAGTCTTCTTGCATTCAAAGGTTCTCCTGTTTCATTTAATCTTTCGTATACACATATGGGAATATGTTAATTATAAGCATTTAGTATTTTGTATCGCAACACAGAATAAACAGCTTCACGTTTATAGTAAAATGCTCCCATGAAATAAATCTACTAGTGATAACAAATGACAGCTTCAGCAGATGAGAAAAACGCAATGAAAGTGGCATGAGCACCCATTCTACAGAGCACTTTCTGAAATACTTACAAAAGCTTTTCAGTTTAAAGGACTCGTGGAATCATGATAAGGGAAGATAAAAAAAAGAAGTTTTATTTTGCACTGCAATACAGATTCATGCCATCTGTGCAAAATAAGAACACTATTTTATAAAATCCTCTAGGAGACAATCTCTTTTCTTTATGATCCAAGATTGCTAATACTGAGCACTTAACACACCGGCTGTCTCCCAAATAATCAGTCACACAAAAGTATGTTAAACAGTATTCATCTGTTTTGACTTTTTCCTAATTCTGGTTCATTAAAACAGAGTCACAAACCAATCTAGTTTGTTGAATAACTCAAGCCACATTTGAATTATCACCAAAATTATGACCTTAGTTAAAAAACCCCAAAAACAAAAACCCACCAAAACCACCAATGCTCCCCATGACATTAGACAAAAATTCTGCAGAACGACATTTTATATCCCCTAGCACAACTTAAATTTGAAAAAATTATTTATAAGCTTGCTAGACCTAAATATAATTAATACTTGATGTGGTGTATTTACCATTCTGTAACCCCATCCACAGTTGCTTATGATCCTTTTTTTGCATCTCATTGATGACTTGACTTTTGTGCTTTAAAGCATCTGCTTCTTTTATACAAGCCATAAAATGAGCTTCAATCACATCCTTAGAATGGCAGTGCAGAAGATCCTTTTCTGGAAAATTCTACAAAGATAAAGGATAGATCAAGAGAAATAACTGCATCACATACCTTGAATGATGAAAATAACTGATAATTTAAAACAGGCATATATTTATCCAAAAGAAGCATACTGGAATCTTCTATTTTATGGAAGAATGTAACAACCATTCACTCTGCTGAAAAGAAACAGTTTGCAGTGAAAATGTTTGGGAAAAACAAAGCTGAACCAGAATTTTAACGTGTTTTCAGGCAGATGTTCAACTCTCAGGCAATAAACAGGAGAAAATAGGGGGAAATAAATGACAAGCATCTAATTCATACTGACTCCCAATGGTAGCTTATCATCCATTTCTATGCAGGCCCTTGAAAAATGTTTCCTCTAAGTAGTATCATCCACATATATGAACTACAGCATATCTGTCACTTATTAACATTTTTCCTTAGAGATACTGGAAATACTTGTCAGCTCCAACTTTACCTAATCCATGTGACTATTGCTAGTCCTTGTGACTTGATTCTATACCCATTTTATTTAGTGAGGGCTGGTACACTGCATTCGGCCACCATTCCTCAGGTAACTCTTATCCCCTCAGTAAATGACAACTACCTCTCCTAATTAATGTATTAGGGAATTATAGTAGTAAATCTTGTTCAGGTACTAAAAATATTTCTTTGGAAATTAACTGCTCAGAAGTCCTGCACTGTAGAGTTATACAGTTGTGGTTGTTCTTCCTCTAATTTTTCTTTTATCATCCCCTACTATCACTTCGCATGTTACAATAACATAAATACTTATTACCACAACTCCATTACCTTTAGTTTTTAGAAGTTTTAAAACCCAGTCTATTTAATTCTTGCCTTATTCAACTTATTTTCACAGTTGCTTATGACCATCCCGAACTGAGCAAACCTCAGAGCCAAACCAGAGTGGTGGCATCATTAGTACTCCCCTTCATAACAAGGGCTTGCCACATTTTTATACTTTAATTCTCATGGTATTCCACCAGAGGCCCTTTCCTCTTAACCCATTACAAATTGGCACTTTAAAAAGCTTTTGTGAGGAACTGTCAAAACCATTTTGGAAATATAAGTACATATAATAGGATATTTTTTCAAAAGCCTTTACAACATAGTTAACACGTCGCAGTAGGAGCAATATAACATTTCAAAACCCCCCATACCTTCACTCCTCCACATAAACCCAGGAAAAAATAGTGCAAAGTGCTTCCAAATAGAGGAACTCAAAGTATCAAAAGTCTACTACCACTAGGCAATGTGAAAGGGAGCTGGGGATTGCCTTACCTGAAGAAAATTCTGAGGACAACAGATTATTAGGTTATTGAAAAGAGTTGGAAATTAAATAATTGAATTTTACATTGGGATTTCTCCTTATGAACCCAAACTCTGGAAACTGTGGATCAAAAGGATATTTTCCAAAAACAGGGTCATAAAGCAAAGAGAAGACAGTCTCTTTTCCGCTAAAGTTTACATGGTTTGGTGTTAAATTAGCAAAGGGAGTGCTGTTTTTACTTAGGCCTCATGTATGTTAAGCTGATTAGAAATCTAAGGACAGAGGTAAATTTAGTTTCTCATATGAGAATGGCCAAGTATAAAGACATTAAAGAGGACAGAACAATAAGGAAAGTTCTGGGGCAGACCTCACTCCCATTTTACCCTATAAAGCTGAATGTCTCAGCATAATTGGGCCCAAGATTACTAGAAAAAATTACTGAGATTGCTATTTGCCAATTGACATCTGCACAGGCCTGTAAAATACTTTCAGAAGTTCAATTTACTTGCTCAAATAAAAAAATGTAATGTCTGGTAACCAATCCAGAAGAAACGAACAGACAGAAACAGCATACTTAAAAGATCAAAAAAGTTCTTTACATGCAAGACTTCAAAATGAGACACTGGCATCTTTCAAAAAAATGGAAGAAACCTAATATACCTAATGCCAAGTAATATAGAAACCTAGAAAATTACTTTTATAGTTATAAGCTGATGGTTTAGCTAAGTTTATGAAAACAACATTTTTGTTACAAGGACTGTTTTGCTACACAGATGCCTAAATATTGAACTGCAGAGTCTTTTTTTGGACACGTCTCTCTCTCTACAGGTAGACATCTTCCTGGTGACTTTCTTCCAATGAATTTCAAATTGCAGGAAATCTGATTCCCTGGGGTTGGGTTCCAGAAATCATACACAGTGTAGTCCGCAGAACAACAAGGATATATTTAAAACTGATCAAAGCTAGCTAAGCTAGTGTAAAGAATCTAGCCACAGGAGTAGAATTAGGTGTGGAATGATCAATTTTCCCAGTGTCTAAGAAGTAACACTGTGAAAGGCTCAAAAACGCTCCTAGAAAGAATCTCAGTGCTGTCTATTCTTTTCTTTAGTAGGAAAGCAGTGACACATTTCTATGCAGTACTGTAAGTAGAAGCTGAAAAACCTAAATATGAAAGTGATAACTTAAAAAAAACCCAAACCTGTTGCATCTACAAGAAGCACATGAAACAGCTTCATCTACATGAGACTATGAACAGAAGATACAGCATCCCCACTGATTTATAAATCAAGGCACGGAATAATAAGTTTTATACTTATATACAGATCATGTGTGCTTGTGATTTTATTTTTTTCTAAATTCTACTTGCCTTCTTTCTACTTGAGGAAATAGTGATCAATTGTAAACAACTTCATTCAGTTCCCTGAAGAAAGGGTCAATTGTAAATAAGCTGATAGCCACCCCTGGCTCTACAACTAGGATTTGCAAAAAAGTTTTAAGAGATGCCATATGCAGCTTTAATTCAAGTACTCTTACTGGTGATGTCTTACTTCCTCCATGTTCTGTATCTTTGAAAGAAAAGTTACCAAGGGTTGACTTTAATTTTCTTCAAAAGCTGGAAGAGTACAGGTTTTTTATTTTCACATACCAGCAGACACTTGCACCATGAACTGGTCATAAAGAAATAGGTATCATTTGTACAGACAGGAGCACTAAATGACCTCTCACATAAAACAGTTCAAAAACGCCACAGGCAATTTCAACAGTCTGGTTTCATAAACCCCATTCCACCCATATTTATCTATCAGTTCTAGTTAACAAAACATCTGTTTATATTGTGACAGTCTAGTTGCATTAGACTACATTTACAGAAAACAGGGCATTAAAAACCACAAGGAATGTATCCAGTGGCAGGGGGAGCATCCATGTATCTGTATTCAGTTACCATATGTGGTAACTAAACTGTCTTTTCTTTCAAAATTTATACATTCATGCTTCAACCTTCTGCAATATCTCCTAGCAGTTCCACAATTTATCCATATGCTACATGGAAAAGTACTTCCTCTTCACTCCGCCTGACCCAATTTTCACCTAAAAAACCCAAGACAATGGCTGTTATATAAGGACAGATGCAGTCTCTCCTCCCCTACATCAGGTCATGGGTGGAGAGACAGGCACCAGCAGATAAGAGCTTCAGCAGAGGGAGAACATCAGCCTTTCCCCTGGCACACCCAGCTTCCTCTTCTCCAGTAGTACTGCTATTTCCAGAACAGTTCACCACTTCTTATCTACTGCCCAAAATCTGGAGAGTTGGTTGCCACACTGAGAACATGGATAGTGCTCAGCATGCTGCAGAGCAACAAGACATGATTTTAACAGGAAGGGATAGAGTTTCCCACCTTCCCTAAAGCCACACCTGGGTAAAAAAGGCAACTTTCCAGTCTATAGACTCTCCTGATTCTCAGACCTTAGTATGCTGTTCAAGCTCATCCTTCTGCAACTATTTAATGCAACTGTTTTTCAACTTTACAAGATATAAATGCACGTTATTTTATTGCATACTTGAAGAACAAAATAATAAACCATTTCTTCAAGTGCCAAGACTAAGTGTTGTATTATTTGGTCTGCATACATAACACAGGAGGACAATTACAAGCATCTGTCAATTTCCAAACTTCTGCTAAAGGGAAATAAGCCTTTTTCATGTTTTGAACTTTAAACAAAGAAACTTGATAGATTTGGGGTTTTTTTTAAGCTGAAAAACACTCTTTACAGATGCCTGAGTTATCTGTTGTTGACTGCATGCTTTGGTAGAAGAAAGGAGACAACCATGACAGCAGAAGTTAAAACTCAGAAAATTTTAACACTGTGCAATTAAGCCAAATGAAAATTATGACTCTTTGAAGAACAACTACACAGAAATTAAAAGAATAATCTAGGCAGAAATCCCACAGCTAAACTATTCAGCTGTTAGAAACTGTAACACATGTAAACCTTGTCAATATTTTGACGTGCTTTGATATATTTCAGTTACGTTTTGACTTTAGGGATTAAGAGAGGTTATTTAAATAAACTTTCAGATTACATCAAAATGGGAAGAGAGATTATGCAGGTGCTAACTCCAAGGTATTATATTACTAAAATACATCAGCTTTTAAAATAATACTGCCTTAGCAGTAAATTATTTCTGCTGATCTTTCATGTACACCTTTGAGAAAAACTTAAAAGTAGCTGATCTTTTGGCAAGCAGTAATGTAAGGACATTAAAATCAATTTACATTACTGCATGAAATTGAAAGCTGTGGTGCTGCAACTTAATTCTCTAGATGCCTCTACTTTGCAATGGCAACATCCACACGCTGCCACTGTTAATACCCCAGAGCTTTCAGAATGTAACAATTAAATCATGATTTATGAAACTAGATGCCCTACATTTTCCTCAGAACACTCTGGAAGTTTCTTCATCCCAGGTCTCTGACATTTATCAGATAGAAGTGTAGCAATTACAATTGCTTCAAAAACATCCCTAACTTCAGATTCATTTAGTCAAGTCAGTTCAAAAGTTTCAACATGTAGAAATACATACAATAAGAATATATGATTTCAGTGTACACTTCCAAAAACAATCAGACTACGGCTAAAAAACCCTTTTCTAACACACCTTGAATAACTGTTTGAATGAAAATGTCCAGCACAACTACTTCCCAGTACATTTTTCATTTCACTCAAATCTCTCACACTGAAGTCAAGCCTATTAACCTAGCACTTTCCTTCAGATCAGTTTTCCTACCATATTGTTTATTTTACAATGGAGAAATTAACATTTCAAAATTAAATACCCATGATTTCTAGTTGTGCTTTTGACTTCAAAACATATCTGGGATTACTGTCTCAATGCATTTCAGGGTATGCAAGGATCCTGCACCAAAGCTCACCCTGCTCAGGTACCTTTCAGAACAAAGATCAGTAGTGCTATTAAGTCATACCCAATGGTTTTACAATGTACAATCAAAATACTGTGTCTCCTGTGACTAAGCTGCCACAAGAACAAAGTCATTTCACTCCGTTCTCTAAAAGGGACCAACATGCAGTATAGCAGCATTCCCTGACTTTAAGGATTTCTACACTATCTCAAATCCATGCTCATATATGCCTAAAAGGATGACCACTTCTCAATCTTCCCAATCTTCAGTCAACTCCAGATGATAGAACAAAAAACATTATAGAAAGTTCTCTTTTATCTACTTAATTGCACTGACGGTGTCTCATAATGTATCGCGAAAAACAATTATGGATTTTCAAATAACAGGATAATTTTCTAAGGAAAGTCATGGCAAAGCACACATGATCTCATGGAAAACAACTGCAGACTTACAGAAAGCTTTATACACTTCCTGAAGAATGAAGATTCACTAATTTTATAAAATAATTATGAAACTTTTTCCTAGCTTCCAAACTTCATGCAATCTTATGCTCACTTGTTCTTAACTAAGAGTGTATTTCAGTTTTACCTTGAAATGCACTGTGATGCTCCAAGGAAGGGCTGTATTTGATGCATGGAGGTCAAACAGCAAACCAATTGGGTAATGCCTAAAAATGACGAGATATTAGTTTAATATAGAAGCTGTGAATTTAATTCTACATATAACAGTTAACATACTTGCATTTACACAAAAAAATAAAAAATAAGCTGTTTGAATCCCGCACTTAGCATTATTTATCGCTTCTTCAGAAAAATTATACAGGCAAGTATAAGTGACTAACAGTTTCTGGCAGAATCGAGCCTGGAATTTATATGTTCAATATCTAAACCAGTGGTCTCCAAGCTGTGCCCACAAAACACTGCTACTTTTGCAACAGCATTATGTGGCTCTACAGCTGCTCTGTGGAACCCTTCAAAACAGAACTTGTAGTTAAAAAGTGTAACAGTGGCAGGAATAGTTGGTCTGACAGAAAACCCTACATGCTTTCAGATATTTCAATGCCCTGGGTTTGTACCACACTGTCCCTTAACATCCTCTCCCCCTCTCACATGCCTGATGTCATTGTAGAGAATAAATAGCAAAGTGAAAAAAGCTCTTCCTTCAGTTTTCTCACATGCAGACAAGGGCAAGATTTTGATAATTTTTTTTTTTTTGCCTTTAGCATATCAAGCTCCATTCTGTTATCTTTCAAAAATCATAAGTAAAAGAGCCTTACTTAGCTTTTCATCCCACAAAGAGACAAGCACACACTTAAGAGTAAACTCAGTAGGTTCACTGAATTGAATGGGACTGGTCACAAGTTGCAGAGCCAAGCACATACGAAAGTTTTAAACTCTGGAGAGTAATAACCGAGAGTGTTGCTCTAAAAGCACCTGTGCCAAGCCAGTTTCCTGACCTGTTAAACTCTTACACAGAAGTGCTTTAGCACCCTCTGTGGGTGAGCCACCCCAAAGCTAAGACAAATTCACCACAACAGCAAAATAAAAACCAAAAAACTACTACAATTCCTGAACTTACATGAGAGCAAAGAATAAAGAGAACACATATCCAGATTTCTCCTAGTTCACTGCTAATGCTCAAGTTCTTACCACAAAGACGTCTTACTACTAACTGCCAATCATGTCCCTTAATAGGGATTCAGTAAGAGTTCCATGAAAGGGTGTTTTTTCAGACAAATTAACTAACAAAAATCAGATTTCTTCTTATAATAAGATGAACACAAACTTTCACAAACAAGAATAATGACTTCCACTTACTTTCAATCTATGCAATAGAACATATAACTACAAAAACAAAACAAAACCCCACACTCACACAAAAATCCCTGCATCAGGTCTTGGCCTACCTCTGTATTTTCTACCCAGTATAGATTACATAATGAAGTTCTTGTAATCAAGATGTTTTCAGTAAAATCCCTGCGCTTTGCACAGTTGATAGATGCCTGATCAAATGGGGCTTTGACCTTCTGTCTTCCATTGATTCATGAATAGGAAGGGTCAGTCATCTACCCAGTTGGTACAAGAGAGACACCTATGGATCCAGGGCTAGAACACAGTCCATAGAAAGGGGACAGAAACTCCACTGAGGGCATATCCAAGTGCTCAAATAGGATGGAAACAAAGGGTGTCAACCTCTAGCATCTGCTGAAGAAACCATTCCAGCACATCCAGAGTGGCATCTGGCTCAGACACGGCTCCTTAAAAAGGATGCAGCTCTCCAGGTCTCAAGCTGCCACAAGAGGTTGGGACCTTTTCTGAGGGCTGAGGCAAGCAAAGGAAATGTCTTTGCCTAGAGGAGGTGCTTGTTAATGAAGGAGCTATGTTACCAAATCACAGAACTGCAGGAGGTCAGTGGGATGCACACCATCAGGAAAAATAAAGAAATAGATGGCATCTTCACTGAGACCTTACAGAGATGAGAACCTGGTGAGGAAGAGAGATGGTAGTCACTGGAGTGGTCAACGGAGACTCAAAACATGGGGAATACCAGAATCTTGTGACCTCTGGTATTGAGGAATACATTCGGTTCAGCTAGCTCAGTGCCAGCTGCAGTGCCAGCTGCAGGTTGAGCTCTAGGTGCAGGGAGCCCAAAGCAAAAGGCTGGGAACTGGCACCAACCCTTGGCATGACAAAGGGCATGGGGACCTGTGGCTGCAGCCAGGGGACCAGACACTTGGAGACACAGCAGGAGTCAATGACTGAGCAGGAAAACCCCAGAGTATCACACATAGACCATGAGGGTATAAAAGACCAGGATTTCCTTTGTTTGAGGTCCCTCTTCAGAGGCACCCAGTTCAAGCTGTTATTCTGTTGTTGGCACCATGATTAAACTATCATCTCGGACTGCTCTGGGAAACCAAGGGTCAAGCTAGTAAGGAAACCTTGTCTGACTGTGTGCATGTCACACAGGACACCCATCAGTCCCTGGAGCTGCCAGCTGCAAAGGGGCCTCGGTCCCAGCTCAGGTGACTGCCACATCATCCTGGATGGTCAGACAGTCGTTTCCTTAACCTCTGGCAAGAGGGTAGGCTCCTTCTCCACCTGCTATCAGTGCCTCAGTGGCAGATAAGCAGCTGGAAATTCTGAGGAAGCATCAGAGCTGTCTGAACAGCACATCCACAGCAAGAGGAAGCAGTGACAGTACGACAAGACTATCCTACACAGCAGGAGAGAGCTCTCCCCCATCTGCCAACCTCCTTTGTTAACCAGCAGAGGTATACTGCTTGTTAGGAAGTTGCAGACTAGCAAAGTTTGTCCTGTGCTTGTATTATCAGTCCTTGCTGTTCACCCACATGGGCACAAATGTTAAGTGCTGCAAGGGAACTCCTGAGTGTATCAAAGTGATTATACAGCTCTAGGGGCTGGGTGGCAGCTCCACAATTCTGCCACGAAAGGACACCGGTTCAGTGACTGTGTGAGTGACCAGGGTGAGTAACCGAACTTGGTTTTTACATACACAGGACATTCTTTGGGGATAAAGGACTGCTGAAGAGAGATCGAATCCACCTAAGTGGGACAAAAGTTTCTTTGCCTTCAGGTTGGCCAGCCTGGTGAGGAGAGCTTTAGATCATAACCAACAGGAGTGTGAATAAAAACCCACAGATAAACAGAAATTAATGGACATGGGTTGAAAGCAAGTGATGAAAGGTGACAGATACAAGGGAGATGTCAAAGTGATAAAAGAAGGTAGAAGAGAGCCTACCACAATTGTGCCTGCGTAAGTGCACACAGCTTGGGAAACAAGCAGGAGAAACTAGAGTTCCACATGCAGCAACACAACTGTGATAGAGCTGGTCTGCCTGAGATACAGTGAGACAGCTTGCACAACTGGAATACTGTTGTGGAAGGACAGACGTAAACTGCTTAGTAAAGACATGTAGGGCACATGAGGACAGAGGGTTGTCTTCCATGTGAGGGAGCAGCTTAGATCTGTGAAACTTAATGGGACAGACAACAGGTTGGTTGAGTTCTTGTGGTTCAGGATCAGAGGAGGTACTAGTAACAGATCATGCAACAGATCATGCAATCCAGGTAAGGAAATAGACAGAAGTCTTCTTCAAAAAACTCAAGAAGTTCTGCATCACAGACCCTGTTTCATGTTAATCTCTGACATCTAGACAGAGGGACACAAGTAGTCAAGATTTCTTGACACAGACATCGGATGGACCAGACATGACCCACAGCTGAATCTGTTACTTATTAACAAGACAAAAGAGTTCTGGATGTGATAATCAGTGGTAGTTTTAGCTGTAGTGACTGTAAAATGGCAGAGTTAAAAATCCTAGAGAAATGACAATAAGCAGAATACAGGCTTTGGACTTATTTTTGTCATTTCCTCCTGGTGTCCCTGCACAGTTCAGGCTCAGAAACATCAGATGCATCACTGGACAAAAATTTAAGTCCTTCACCTGCAGCCAGAACTAAATCTACGCTGTACTTACATAAATGCAGGTATAGAAGGAACCTTCCTCCTGCTGCCAGAACTCATAAGCTTCCTGCTCTTCCATGTCTTATGAGACTGCTTTTAATCCAATAATCACAGACCTTGCCTGCATTTCCTTCAGTGTAGTTGTAGGTTTAGGCTCCTGTAGCTGCAGGATCTCTGAGATTTGATCCATTTCCCTTTGTAGTCACTAATGCTGCATAGTCCGGTAACCTCTTCCTGCAGCTCCTTACCCTGGTGACACAGACCCTCCCCCACCTCCTTCAGGCAAAGAGACCATCTTCCCCTGTCCCAACAATCTCAGTGGGAAGCCTCAGGCCCCTATAACTCCAGACCTGGAGAGCTTCATCCTCCTTCAGGAACTTGGCCCATGTGCTGCAGCCTGTGAAGTTGAAACTATGTTTCAGACTTCCTCTAAAAATCTCACAGGAAAATAGAAGAGCTGCAGCTAAACAGAGATACACTTTATCCCAACCAGATATGAAACTGCACTGACTGTAAGCAATATGACCTCACAGTAAAAAGTAAATAATTAGAATAAGCAAGATTATTAACAAGTTCTATTTGATTCTGAATGCAGAATCATAGCTAAAAATATTAAACATTAATACTCATTATTCTTTCTCTACAAACTACTAGCTCAATGTGATTCTCAGTTCTGGTATTTGGGTCTTCCCTGGAAGAAGCTTCAGCTATATATGGAATTACCATTCTCCTAAAATAATGGTTTGCTAATAGCATTTTCCGTAGAAATGCAATTCCACTGAAATCAACGCTGTTCCTGGAAGAATACACTGAGCTTTTCTCAAAGATCAGAGCCTTAATTAGGAGATCATCATTACACTATTCATTTCCATTTCACTGTGCAATGAGTTTACTAACTCTTCACTTAATTTTAGAATTTTAATTTATATTTTACTGTATACCTATATTCTAGAATTATTTTTTTTTAATTCTAGTTTAACTATCATGGTATTTGAAAACTTATAGAAAATACAGTTGTATTTTTGTTTGATATAAAAAGCCTCTCCTTCCTTTCTTGTTACAGTTTAACTGAAAACTTACAGTTTCCTCCCATTATCAACCTGAGATTATGAACAAACCGGGAAAAGCTTGGTACCTTGTTATTTATGTAGACAGTATCCAAGACTCAAAGTCACTATGGCACACAAGAAATTCTTGTTAAATCCCAGATAATTTAAATAGATCTCTAAAGCTGGTTTTGCCAGACAGTTATGAAAAAGTTTAAAGAGGTAGATTTCATACTTTTTTCTAGTTACATATTTTCAAGGCTTACTAAGGTTGGTCTCAAAGAAACAAAAGACTATAAGAGATCTACTGTATCACCAAGTCTACGGGGACTCCACGATGTAATGCTTGTCATAAGACAATCCAGGTTCAAGAAGAAAAAAAAGTCATTGGTAGTTTTCTTTCCTGTTATGATACAGGAAATAAAAAGAGAAAAAAATCTCTTCAGCACTCAAAATACTAAATACCTCCTGGAGAGCTGATGCTATCTATACAGAGATAGCAAACACTGCAGCTCTCAAAGTATTTTCTTTAAAACTCTTTAATAGCAGAAGAAGAAACAACACCTGATGAACAGTGTTTATTAAAATTAATTAAATGAAACAATGTTAGTCTGATTCCCTAACCTCTTACAAAAAAACCCAAGATCCCCAAACCCCAAAAGAAGATAGTTTTAATAGATTATAGGACAGAACAAAAATAAAGTTGAACGAATTGAATTCAACAGAAGCTTGCAGATCAGTATTAGATTGTTTTGCAGTGCAAACACGTATCACACCAGTGAAAACTGTTACATGTTTTATCATCTTTAAGCATGTAACCTATTTGCACTCAGATTCCAGAAATAAACTACTTCCTACCTGTGCCATTAGACATATTTCAAGAAGGTGGAATAAGTTAAAGCAAGATTTATTTGGTGATTCTCCTGCAAGAAACGGCATGGCCAAAATCACAGGCATTTCATGTTACACTAACAGCTCAAACAAAAACAGTAAGCACAGAACAACCTCTGCCTTGAACATTTTTGTTTTTGAATTCTGCTTGTATTTTTACTATATGTATAAAACTAAACCTTCTGTTGTTTTTCCCAAACAACATGCTTTTCTTACTCTCCTCCCCTTTTGCCATCTTTGAAACCCAAGGGAGTGTTACTTCAGGAGAGGTACTGACACTGTGCTGAACCTGGGAACTCATTACATGACAAACTGCGTAAAGGCACAAAGTTAAATAAACTCACCATTTCAGTGGTGTACCTTCATATTCAAACCATATTTCACTAACTTCCTCTTGTCTCATAACTTTCTGAAAGTGTTTCTTCACTTTGTCTGTTACCAGTGTCAAGTAGCTTATCCTTGGCAAAAGCAACTGAAAGAAAATTATAGAAGCTTTGAGTATATACAAAATACAATACATTAATAAAAATCTGTAACAAGTATGCATTTTCATAATAAAAATTCAGTCAGCATTCTCTTTTTCCCTTTTTCAAGGTAAAATGTCTTTTAGACATTTAAACACCTTTAGTTTACTAATTAATGGTCAACGAAAGGCTATAAAATTATGTACTCAAAGGATGAAGAGCATCAGTATCCAACAAACTAATACAAAAAATTGTAAAAAATTAATAGCAAAAAATAGTATAAAATTAAGTTCTTGATTCTTTCAATGAGGTGGGAGAGAAAACAGTGGAATTCAATTTCTGCTTTTCTATATTTAAGCAGGCTAAATAATGAAGTCTTAAACCTTTTTCATATGAACATAAAAGAAGAGATTCTAACTTCTTACTGAATAGAATAAGCAACTGTTTATCAGCTATTATTTCAAAACGGAAACTTGTACACAAGAAAGAAAAAAAAGATTGAAAACTATCTGCTTAAGGGTTTGATTTCCAAGTGTTTTATACTTCCAACAGCTGGTAATTTCAATTTTCTTTGCACTGGGTTTGCCAATTCAACATATTAGTCAAGGCTACTATGATTCTTCCTCTATTTAATCTTTGCCCTGCAACTAAAATCAAAAAGAAAACGGTAAATATTTTATCGGTTGAAACAAGACACCTCCTTACAGCATTCTCATATACTATCTTTTTTCCTCAAGTGTACCATAATACACTATTCAAATCAGAATGCTGTACTATTTTCATTTGCAACCTCCTTCCCTCCCTGTTTTTTAAAAATCTCATGCCTAATAAGAGTGGTTAAGCAGACTGCATCAATCAGTGCACTAACTGATGACTGTGGGGCACATTTACTTCAGATAAATCAGTACATAAGCATTAGAAAAAGATGCCTTTCAGTGTCCCAATGAGAAAAAATTACCCTCCCTGTAAAATAGCCGTTAGCTTTAGAACAGACATTTTAAAATAATAGTATTCATCCTGTAAAGTTTTGCTTCATAATTATTAATAAAAATAGATAGACCTAAGGAACACATAAATTCTGGTTTGCACTTTTAGAGAAACATTTGTTTTACAGCATTCCTCACAACCAGTGTTGCTTCCTAAAGCAATTTCTTTATAGTATATGAATAATGCGAGACCTAAGTGAATGTCTCTGGTACACACATCCCTAACCATGCAAGAATATATCTGCCTGATGGAAAATTTGATCTCTGCTGCAACATCCTTCCAGAATTTCTCCACACATCGATATGTAAATTAGATAATATTTTGACCATGATACTATAATTTATAAATATCAGACTCATAAAGAAGTATGGAGAGTAAATCAAGTTCTTATAAGAAGAGAACTGATTTTTTTTAGATAATGCTACATTAGGTTACATCTGTGACACAGCTAAATTTTACAATTATATATAACTACATAAGATCAAGTCTCACCACTATCACAGTCATCATATCCACTGATTGTTCCTGAGAGAATATAGTCCAGGCTATTCCAATCATATTTTTGGTAATAATTTTGTATTATTTCTGTGTGATAGTTACAATTAAATTAATGCTGGTGTATTCTGATGAGACTTATTTGGGCTGTTACAAAAGCCAATTTTCAGCATGCTGCATGTGGCACAGTCATGGATAAATACATGAAAGCATTATTTATTACAACAGTGTTTGACATAACCCTTTAAACTGTGTAACTTTCTCTGTTAAATATTTTATTTCAGTTTTAGTGTGAAAGAACAATGCAGTTTCAATTTCAACACAATTAGAGATCACAGACAATAACCAAACAGCATTTAGCTGAATTTAACAGAATGTGGCCAGCACTCCCAAAAGGCATCTCTGAAGTACAAAACCCAACAGTTAATCAGATTAACGGGGACTACCTGTTTTTTAGAGATGCTGAGCATTTGTAGAATCCACTGAACTCTTTTTTTGGTCTTCCCACTTCTTTTACCTTGTTACAGTCTTCCCCTTCCATGGGAAAAATAAAAGGATCCAATTCTATCACTTTTCCAGCTTTAATTACCTTAGAGATTGACAAGTATACTAACCCTGTTAAGTGAGACCTTTTAAAGCATAGTTTAAAAATATGTTCATTTTGTTACCTTTTAATATCCCTTCTCCACCAGCAGAAAGATAACAAATAAGATTAGAAGTGCTCCTCATTAAATTAAAAAACCAAAAGTAAATCTCCAGATCCATTAGCAGGCAGAATAAATCCTACTAGGCTAGAACATGCCACCCCTAAATGCCATCCCATTACACAAATGGCAACAACTTCCTTTTGCATACTGTATATTGCTACAGTATTTTGTCACAAAAACCAGGAATGTTTTCTCATGAACCGGGAGGTTAAATGAAATACAAGGAACTCCTAATGCCTAAGTAAATGTTTGCAACATATCATTGTGTAAAAAGAGCACCTCTCCAGACATCTCCACAGGTTTTGTTGCAGAGCAAAACAGTATTTTACGTGCAAAACACTGTAAAACAGAAAAATTACAGATTTAACAGGAACTGGACTGGTCTGATTACCAAAGTGTCCAGGAAGATGAAACAAAGCATTCTAACATGGAATGGCTTCACATTGCTCACTCTTACAGACACCTTAACAAGACAAACACCTTTGACATCGAGGAAGCTAAAAGTGTGGTCCTGTTAAAGACTAGACCCTTCGGCAGAACATCATTTTAAGACTGTCTTCTGCTGTAATTTTGTTCCTTATACGCCTGACAATTCTCAGCCAATGAGTGCTCTGCTTCCTGCATACATTTTCTTTCTAACTGTTGTTTGCACAAAGAGGCAAACAGTATACAATTTTAAAATAAAATTCGTAACAATTTCTGGACAAGGGGAAAATCAGATCAGTAAGAAAAAGCAGCTCGACCTAACTATTCCTAAATATGCTTCCGCTCAAAACAAGCATCTGTAGGACACACTCCAAAGAAAATCGAAATATCCATTTCCAGTGTAACTCTGCAGAAACCTACCTGATTTGACTATAGCAACAGGACAGTGTTTTACCAGAGCTGCTTAGTCTTTATGTGATTACTCTTTCCAAAAGACAGACAAGTTAATTTTAAATTACTTCTCCAACCCCCATGCAGTGCCATAAGGCGATGCATATATGCATCACTCCCATGTTGTGCTAATCCATCTGACAGACAAGGGCCTCCTGTCACACCACTCACAACAAACCGAAATCCATCATGCAGATTCTGGGTTGTTTTTCTAACCCCTCACCCTCCAAGTCTATGTCATCCTTCATCTTCATAAAGCAAGTTCCTCTGAGCAGAATCCTTTATGCCCACTTAGCATAATGATGGCTGTATTTCCCTCCTATGCAACCTTCCCATTTATGAAAGGCAGTCTGGAATACAAGTTCTGAGGTAAGAAGTACATAAAGCTGAAGAGCTGATGTCACGGGCTGGAAATGTCAACTACATATACTTTTTTATTTTACCCATAATTTTAGGGGTTTGATGTTGTTTTAGTTCAATTTAGCTCAAGTTTGACCCCATACACTAAATGTCCATTAGCAGCTGAAGTACATCTGCTGCTTCAGCTTCACGTGAAAATCATTCAGCTTGTGGGCTGTAAGACTGCTGTGTGATGCCAACCTGAGCACAGTAAGTGGAAAGGATGAATACTTGCTTCAAAATGCACTTCAGATCTGAACAACAACACAAGACACACTCTGAAACCACAAGAACTGAAGTACGATTTAAAACCTTTTATTATTATAAATCCTTTGTCCTTTCAAGAAGTAAAGCTATACTATTAACTCCAACATGACCGGAAAAATGAAGAAACTAAAATTTTAGAATTGCCATGTGTGAATAATCATATTTTGCAGAAATAAAGAATTAAGCACTGAGAATTTCTGCACACAGTTTAAGTGGAGTAAATAAAAGAAACCCTACCAGCTTAAAACTATCTCCTTGGCCTAGAAAGATGGTCACACCATGAAGATAACGTGGTTTCAGGGTTTCCATGCTAATGTTAAACAGATTGAGACTGCACATCTCTATATTTAAACTCATACCTTTCAAGTAGCTCCGAAACAATATAAGCACATACATTTTAACTCACATATATATAATTTCAAGTGTGAGACTTCTAGGTAGCTCAGAAGTAAAGTAGCTAGTTATGAAGCAGAAGTGCTTATGTTTTACCAGTGGTAAAACTAAAATATAGAAAAATGAGCACTATTATCACGGAACAAAAAGCAATTATGGTTTATTAGGTTTCAAAACCCCACTAAATACACATTTCTGATTCAGTAAATCAGAAACTGATGACACAAAGATGCTGCTGAACACAGAAAAAAAGTTCTATTCAGTGTATAATGGGATATTACAAGACTTAAGAATTTCAGAATCACATAAAAACTAGTAATTCATGACTTTCCTTCTATGCACTTGTTACATTTCAAATTTAAGTTTCACTGAATCAGCTAACATTCTCTATGAATCAAATGTCTATTAGGTGCTGAAAGAATGAAAACTGATGAGTACACTATAGACAAATACCATGTGACTACAGAAGGCACTTCTAGCTTACAACTCAAATACATCCATCATCCTCATTTTTATCATCAGCTAGCAATCCAGTTCAGGCACTGCTCCATTAAATCATTACACTTGCTTTTCTTACTGTTGAGCTAGATCTCTCATGGCTGCTGGCATTTAAAGAAAACAAGCAGAAGTCATTCATGAGCAGAAATACTGGAGCCAGTGGTCATCATCAGTTTGTGTTACGCAGGTAACACAAATCCTGGTGTTTAGGATTTCATAAAGCTCTGTCTGAGTATTTTTGTATTAAGGCAACATAAAAGTTCTCTCCCTTCTGGTCACTATCCAAGAACATACAAAGTCATGTAGAGCCTCCTCCTTTTACCTAATCACTTCTTGACTTTTTTGTAATTTTTTAAAAGGTTCTTAATGACCTGTGGTAAGTTTCCCTCACTAGTGAAACAAGACTGAAGTTTCCAATCTGCTGTGAAGAGAGACAAATCACACAGCGTGGTTATATGCTTACTTCCAGAAGGTACCAGGAATAGGAAAAAAACATTGTGTTTTTTTCATAACATGCACTGGCACACACGATGAGAATGAAGGAAACAAACATTACCATGGCACTGGACTATTTGTGACTACCTCTGTCATACTCACATAGTAAGGTTCAGCTTCCCTCTCAGTTATCTCATCCTGATACAAAGTGAAACAGGTCGGTATTCGCCCAAACCACACATCTCGAAGCACATCTTTGTCATCTGTCATTCTTCCAATGGACAGTGAAGCACATGTAGACCAGTTTGTTTCTTCAGCTAAAACTGTAACCAATATCCCCCCCCCCCAAAAAAAAAACAAGTCAGCACGACTGTGAATAAAAACCAATCTTGTTAAAGGTTCTTCCATAACTACGCTCCTGCAGGAGCAACCAACGCTGTCACCGGGGCATTAAACGCATCACTTGGTACAAAGAACGGGATGAATTAAGTCCCCAGCTGCAAACACATGGTGGATAAGGAGTAAATTAGCATTTCCTAAGGCTGCATCACACCCCAGCCGCAGAGCCAAAGGGACCCTTCCCGTTAGCGCCCCGCAGTGACCCCGCAGCCCCCGCACCCGGCGCGGCCCGGTGCCCCGGGCAGGCGGCAGAGCCCGTGCCTGCAGACGGGGCGGGAACACCGAACGAGCCGGGCCCTCCCGCCGGCGGGGCCGGGACCAGCACCGGCCCGGGGTCACCGAGGCCGCAAGACGGGCCCCAGCATCGCCCAGTGCCGGGAGCGCCCCGACAGCAGCTCGGGGGGGCGGTCGGGCCGGGCCCCATGGGGTCTGTCGGTCTGCCTGTCTGTCTGTCCCTCCGCCTCCCTCCCTCCCTCCCTGCCGGCGGCCGCCCCAGGTGAATCAGCGGCACTCCCGTCGCGCGGGGCCGGACCGGGGAGCGCCGCGGCGGGGGCGCCGGGCGTGCTGTCCCCGCTCAGCGGCGGCGGCGCCGGGGGGCGGTGGCGGGCGGGCCCGGCCGTTACCTCTGTCGCGACCGGCGACACCCGCCGCCCGCGCGCGGGGCAGGAACCGATCCGCGGCCACGCCCCCGCCGCGGCCACGCCCCCCACGCGCACGCGCCGCCCGCCGCGCGACTTCCGCCCGGCTCGAGGCCCCGCCCCCGCTGGCGCCGGAAGCCGGAAGCAACGGGGCGGGCCCGGCGGGAAGGGCGGGCCGGGAGTCGGTCCGGGAATGGGTCCGGGAGCCGGTCCGGGAGCCGGTCCCCCGCCACCCCCAGTGCGCTGGTGATGCTGCAGCGGCAGCGCCGAACACGGGAGGTCTCCGAACTGCAGCTGTGCCGGTCCCGCTACCGAGGCGGTGGCGGCGGGGCCGCTCAGCCGATGAGCCGCGCGTCTGAGGATTCTGAGCACTTGATCTCTCTGCCCGCTCTTAGCCGATTGTTGTCTTCTCCTGCTTCTCCAGGGGAGTGGCCACAGCACCAAGCCTGACAGAGTTCATGAAGCGTTTGAAGCGTTTGGACAAGGCTCTCAGGCGTAGGGTGTGATCCTTGGGGCTGTCCTGTGCAGGGCCAGGAGCCGAACTCCACGATCCTTGTGGGTCCCTTCCAACTCGGGATATTGTGTTACTCTCTGTGTAGTAGTCTTACCCACCGTGATAGATGGAGCAAGTCCAGGGGAGGGTCACGAAGTTGATAAGAGGGCTGGCAGGCACACCTACCCTATGAAGACATGCTGAGAAAGTTGGGGCTGTTCTGCCAGAAGAAGAGAAGGTTGTGTGGAGACCTCATAGCAGCTTCCAGTATCTGAAGGGGCCCTACAGGGAAGATGGAGAGGGACTCTTCGGCAACAGCTGTAGTGATAGGACAAGGAGTGATGGGTACAAACTGAAAGAGGAGAAATTTAGGTTGGATGTTAGAAAGAAATTCTTTACTGTGAGGGTAGTGAGACATTGGAACAGGTTGCCCAGGGAGGTTGTGGGTGCCCCAACCCTGGAGGTGTTCAAGGCCAGGTTGGATAAGGCCTTGAGCAACCTGGTCCAGTGGGAGGTGTCCCTGCCCATGGCAGGGAGGTTGGGATTAGATGATCTTTAAGGTCCTTTCCAACCCTTAACGTTCTGTGATTCTGTGATTTTATGGCACAATCACAGGAGGATGAGGAGTACCTTCTGCCACCAGTGACATCTGTTACATACCAAAGCATCGTTCTGGAGTGGGTTTTATTGGCACAGTAGGGCCAAGTTCACAGTGAATCCCATCTCTGCATTTTAAAGGATATCTCCCGCAATCTTGTCACTCAGCAAATCCCCATCAGCTGTAGGAGTGCACGGGAAGGACAGCACTTTTCAAGTGGGAGGGAACGTCTTTAAGTCCAAGGAAGATATGGATCCCAGTGTGCCACACACTCACAGTAGTGGAAGCTGGGCTGTTCCTGGCAAAACGCACGACTGCAGCAAACGTTAATACAGAGGGTGTTTGGCCCGTTTGGAGGAGAGCTGATACACTGGGGGTTTACCTGGCGGGGGTGGCACACGCTGCAGTTTCAGTAGTGCCACGTTCTGGCCATGCCGCCTTCTGGCCACCAGATGTCACGCAGTGGCCACCGCTGCTGAAGGAGTCTTAAGAAATTCGGGAACTGACTGCAGTTATTACTGACTTTTCGTGGCGTGAAAGACTCGCATTTTACTAAATTTGTGCGTTGCTGACCCAACAGTATGACTTGTGTAACTCTAGTATTTTTTTTCAGTCATCTGAAGGATTAGAAAAGTCTGAAGAGCTTGTGGGTTTTTTCTCCCTGATTTAAATAAGTTTGTCATGATGACCTATTTTTTATAAAACATAATATTCTGAACATGAGCCCTAACATAAAATGATCCTTTTTGGCTAGTGCTCTATAAGCAAAAAGTTAAGCTGTGGCAGTTTTGTGCTTGGGGACATACACAGTGAAGCTCTCCTTACCTTTTCTGCAAGGGTTTTTGTGACATCAATTAAAGAAGCAGGTAAACTGCTGTAAACAGGGAGTAAATGTAATATTAGGTATGGTCTACCCAAAGCACAGGGAAAGAAGACACACAGCACTTGTGATACTGCAAGGGCTTTAGGCTCTGAAGGCCTTATGCTCCTAAATATAAGCAGCCAATGCTCTCACCTTGGGTGCACATGTCGAGCGTGATGGTGGAAGGGGAGAGGTTCCTCCAGAAGTATTGCCTGTGCGCTCACCACAGTTTTAACTAGTATGTGAAAACGATTGTCTTGCAGACCTGGAATGGCAGGAAACCTGCACAGAACTGATCCCACAATTATAGAGGCATCCAGCCCACAAGCACTACACATTGCTAGAGGCTTCTCTGTGTGTTTCTGCAAGGAACCCCCTGATGCTGTCACAGCTGCGCTGAAGCCAGTCACATGTGGAGCTGCTGTGGGATGCCAGCACCACTGAAAGAAAACAAAAAAACCCAAACAAAAAACCCAAACCAAAAACCAACAAGATTTTTACAAGTAGTTTTCCTGGTTACAGGATTTATAAACTTTCAGAAAGCTTTGCACATATGGATTTCCCTACAGGAAACCAAGGAGAACCAGAGGTTTAATCCTTGCCTTTCCTCCTATGAGCTCCTCAGAGTTCTATAGAAAAGGCTTGTTTTAGTGGGGTTTGTAGGCTGAAGGGTTTGGCTGACTGTTGTAGCAGCATCACAGAGACAATGCCAGCTCATTTTTTCTCACAGGCAGGAAGGACTCTGCCAGCACTGCTATTACCAATAGTACTGTTAGTGTGACTGTACTGAGAATGTGTGTGACCCCTTCTTGACACTGCCTGTGCTCACCTCTTAAGGTCTTAACCTCCACTGCTGTAGCTCTTGAAACGTGGCACTGTCCAGCTAGACTGTGCTATCAGCATTCTCTTGATTACTAATGACAGCTACCAAACAGATTAAACACACATTTTTGCATTATTCTCTCATGTATAGTATAAGGAACATGAGCACCTGACTCAGGCATATGGATTCCACTTCATAGGCTGAAAATTAAACACCATTGAGTGCCCGAGTCTTTTGCTGGATCTAGATACAGGATACTGAGTAGAGAATAAAACACAGTTAAGTTATACAGTGAGATAACTTGCTATTTAGAGTATCTTTGTATTTAAATGTCCTAGCAAACTCCTGATGTAGTTACCAGACACAGATGCAGCAAGATACATTGTAAAAATCTGTTTGAGATTATAAAGACAATAGTTTGATAGGCAAATGAGGCTCTGATACTGAGACAAAGTTGGTTGTAGGTAAACACACAAGATACAGTGTGACTACTGAACAAATGAAGTAAACCTGGTGAATGACAACTTACCTATTATTATGACTACAAATAATGAATCCAAATCCAAACATTAAAAGTAATTGCTAGGATGTAATGTCAAAAATAGATACAATAAAAAAGGAATTACCTCCTTTGGCATGTTGTTTTCCACATTGTTATCTAATCCTTTAAGTTGCACCATCACTTGGCGGAACGGACCACTCTAAATTGGAAGGGGAGCTCAACAAACATATTTCCAATTCCAAAGATCCTCAAGCAGTATTCCCCCATTTTAACCATCATCATCAGACAACACACAGTTAGTCATTGCCTAATGACACCTGAATCAAAACACCTGTTATTGAGTACATATGCAATCTAAAGATGCTTGTAACGAACAAGATTATAATTAAAGATGCACTAATTCTAACAGAAATCAGAGAAATGGAACAGATGGTTTACATATTTGTGGGTAGTTATGTTTTGGTGTAATGATAGTGCAGATGAAGATTTGTAAACAGGATCAGTGTATAATTTAGGTTGGAAGGGACCCTTGGAGTCCTCTCCTGAACTCTAGGCCAACACCCCTTCTCAAAGCAGGAGTAGCTACAAAGTTACAGCATGTTGATAAAGGCCAATCACACCAACATTTGGTTGCTGAAAAGTTACCTGACATAAAACATGAAAAAGTATCTTCCTCTGTATTTTGCTAGAACTGGGATAACTGATACTCATTGCTTTGATCACATGGAAAGAACTTAATGCTGCTTTCATAGAAAGCCACCTACATGTGTCACCTACACGTGTCACCTACACATACCAGAAAATAAGGATACTTTGTAAGTATATAATGTATATACTTACTTACATAAGTTATACATACACATATGTATAAGAAAGAACCCTGGCTCCTCTCTGTGTAAAACCTTGACTTCATTAAATCATTGGCAAAACACACAGATATGTGAAACTTAACTTGTTCCAGCGTTGTTTTAACTAGAAACTGATAGCAATCACTATTGATGTTTTCCCTTCGCTTCTCCAACAGTTTTCAATAGAAAGCATAATGTATTTTGTTTTAATTTCCTAGCTATTGTCTTTTGAGTGTGTTAACAAAACCGGATTGTGAGAATCATTACTGTACACCTTTTAACATGCAACAGTGAGTAAGAGTCAAATGAAACTCATAAAGCTGCTATTTATATCTAGCTAAATAGTTCATTGTTGCATACTCCCAGTGAAGAATTAATTTGATTAATTACATGAGAAGCTGATTCATTCATCTGAGAACTTCCTGTAAATAATTACAAGATTTAAGTACCACGTCTGATGGCACTTAATGTTTCCATGATACATTTCTAATTTATAAGTTGGTGGAAGTAAAAAAATCACTCTTACCTGGATATAATTTTCCTTTTTTGCTCTCTTCATCTATTAATATTTGTATTCTGTAACAGCAAATATATTTGGAAATATCCTAGACTGGTTTTGAACTCTTTCTTGTCGAAATAAGTGAGGTGTGCTGACAGCTACCTTAGTTTTCCCTCACAGTTTGGGTTGGAAGGGGACCTTGAAGATCATTTAGTCCCAATCCTCATTTCCTATTTTAGTTCTAACTTAAAATTTCTAAGTCATATTTCAGACTATCAAAAAAAATTTGTATTGCTATAACAAGTGACTGGACATTAGGAATCCTAGTTGTAGGTTTGCTGCTTATTATTTACCTTGAACAAAATTTCTTGGTTATGCTACTTTGTCACAGACCCATTAAGACATCTTGGTCTTAGTGAGGAGGAGGTGAAATAA